CTCTACGATGGCACGCCTGAACTAACCAGCAGGAATATACCTACACAATATACTCTCCCCATTGTCTATTATCCGGAAGAGAAACACTATGAGCCAATTCAAAATTTACCTTCATTCTTCGGCTGCAAGTATTATTGCGAACATTGTAATACGCCCTACAGCTCTCAAGGCCATGTTTGTGATAAAACTTGTGACAGATGTCTAAAAAATCCACCATGTGACACTACAAGTGTGGATAAAATAGTGTGTGATGACTGTAATCGAGAATTTCACGGTTGATTGTGTTTCGAAAACCATAAGAAAGCAGGATCTTTTGGAGGGATAAAACCAACAGTATGTGGAAACATAAAATTGTGTAAAAATTGCAATACGAAAATTGATCATCGGAATGCTCAGAAACACCAGTGCAACAAATATTACTGCTCTGTCTGCCAGAAGGATGAAGCCGCATCTCAGCTGTGTTACATGCCTACATTGAAATTTAAGAAGAAAACAACGGTGAAACGTGCGGCGTTTGTTTTTTACGACTTTGAAACACGACAAGACGATAAGATGGAAGGGACTGATGACGTCAATATACACGTGCCTACACTCTGTGTTGCCCAGACTGTATGTGACCTATGTGCAAAGATGAACGATGACGACATTACGAAAACTGAGGAGAATCTTGGAAGCCCATGCAGTGTGTGTAATCCTCGAGAACATGTTTTTGACGATGGCGATCCTGTGCGTGGATTTGTGAATTATATTACATCACTGGGTAAGGCGTATAAAAAAGTCATATGTATTGCACACAACGCGAAGGGTTACGACTCTCAATTTATTTTGAGAGATGTTATAAAACGAATAAACAGCGAAATTGAAGCAATTATTAACGGCACAAATATAATTTTGATGGATTTTGGGGATAATAAGTTTATAGATAGTTTGAATTATTTCCATATGGCTTTAGCCAGTTTACCGAAGGCCTTTGGTTTAGGAGATATTGCAAAAGGCTATTTCCCACATTTTTTCAATAAACGAGAGAATCAAGAATACGTTGGGCCTATACCTGAGAGAAAATATTATGGCGCAGATACGATGAATGTGCAGGATCGAGAAAAATTCTTAACTTGGTACAATGAACGTGTAGCCGAAAATTACCAGTTTGATTTCCGTAAAGAAATTTTGCATTATTGTAGACTCAATGTTACAATTTTAAGGAAAGCGTGTGTGGAGTTTCGTAAATTAATCATGAATGCTGGGAATGTTTGCCCATTTACAGAGTGTGTAACGATTGCTTCGACGTGTATGCGCATTTTTCAAACAAATTTCTTGAAAGAAAAACAGATAGGTATTATACCTCAGGGCGGTTATCGTTTAGGAAAAACGCAATCAAAAGTAGCGATTGAGTGGTTACTCTGGCGCGAGCATTGCGAGAATCATCGAATAATACACGCCGGGTGGACTCGCGAGCACAGAACGGAATCAGGGCATCGGCTAGATGGTTATTGGGAAGATGTTGAAAATAATAAAAAATATGCATATCAGTTTCACGGCTGTTATTGGCACGGTTGTCCACGGTGTTTCAAGTTTAATAGAAATAAAGAGTTGATGTGCGGTTTTCCACCGAATTGTTTTCCGCACACACACACACACACTCACGCACACTCGCTCCTCTCGCATGCTTGCATGGCTTCTCAGGACTGACCTGCGCAACCGACTGAACTGACCAGTGG